ATTAGGACAGCAGTTTCTCTTTCTTTCTTTCTTTCTTTCTTTCTCTCTCTCTCTCTCTCTCTCTCTCTCTCTCTCTCTCTCTCTCTCTCTCTCTTTCTTGGGAGGAAATGGTTTATTTAGTTTACACGTCCATATCACTGTTCATCACTGAAGGAAGTCAAGACAGGAACTTGCACAGGGCAGGAACCTGAAGGCAGGAGCTGATGCAGAGACCATGGAGGGATGCTGCTTACTGGTTTGTTCCTCATGGCTTGCTCAGCCAGGACAGCAGTTCCTTAAGGGGCAGCCACAGTAAATAATATAAAACAGTTAACAACAGTTTGGGAGCAGAAGCCTCACAGTGGACATCCTCCCCTCCTAGTGTGATTGACAGAACAGGCTCGCTGGCCTTAGCTTTTCTTTGTCACCTATTTCAAAGGTAATTTCTATGTGACAGCAATGTCTTCTGACAGCAATATCTTCCGTGTGTTTCAGACGAGTTTAATGCCACTATAGTGCAGTATTTCCTGTTACTTAGCGTAAGATTCATTCCGAGTAGACCATGCAAAGTTGGTTCATATAATGAGCATTCCCTTTCCAGTAAGAATATTGGTTGAATGGCTCAGACACCTGCCTCATTGAAAGCAATGATTTCACTGACGTAGTCATCCAGGCCTGTTTTTTCCATGCCTCACTGCAAACTGGCCTCTTGTCTGCATTTGCATGGATACTTTTCCATTTGAAAAGAAGGGCTCTGGTAAATTTCAGGTTTGAGGTTAAAAGAAGACCAGAAGAAGTGGGAGGTAAAATGTCCAGCTCTCTCCCTTACTGGACAGCATGGTTTATTCAGCAGATGCTCACTAAATGCTCACTGTTGCCAAGATAATGTAAGTAATAAGGAGTCCAAAAAGATGGACAAGTCCCACATCCCTGAATTCTCCCCCGCCCAACTCTTTAGAAATTAGTAGAATGAAGGCACGGCACAGTGGTGCAGGCTTTTAATACTAGCACTGGGGAGGCAGAGGCAGGCAGATCTCTGTGAGTTCAAAGCCAGTGTGGTCGACATAGCAAGTTCCAGGCCAGGCAGGTCTACATAGTGAGACACTGTTCCAAACAAAAGGAAGTTAACAGAGTGGAAGCGGCATACATGTAAATAGATAGAAAGTAAGGCAGGCACCTCAAAGGCTACTTCAGAATAGCCAGGTATGGAAATAGGGAGCAGACATAAAATGTACAGAATTAGGACTTTAAGTCCTGTTGTGTAAGATTTTCTAACCCATGTGATCAGAAACATCAGTCTGCATGTGACTTGTTTTTATTCTCTCTTCCTGTGGTGGTTTGAATGAGATACCCCTCAGAGTTTTTGAATGCTTGGTCCCTGGCTGGTGGTGCAGTTGGGGGAGGTTTAGGAGGTGTGGCCTTGTTGAGGAAGAACGTCACTGGGGATGGGGCATGTCCCTGGGGGTGGGCTTTGAGAGTTCAAAGACCTGTACCATTCTTCAACTTTGCTCTCAGCTTCCTGTTTGTAGTTCAAGATGTGAGCTCTTAGCTTACTGCTCCGGTTGCCATGACAGCCTGCTTTCCCTCCATGGTAATGGACTCTTACCTCTCTGGGATGGTAAGCCAAAACAAACCCCTCCTTCTGTAAAGTGCCTCGGTCATGGTATTTTATCTTGGCAACAGAAAATCAACTAAGACACCTCCTAAGTCCCAAGACAACAGATTTTACATGTGGGGGTCATGGTTCCTGACCCACAGGGTAGCTCCTGAGACTGAGGCAGATCCCCTGGAAGAAGGGGCAGTCTCGTAACTGCAATTGTTCTCATCACTCCCCCATTCCATTTAGACCCACTGCTGATATTTGTAAACCATGAAAGGACTGTAAAGTGTCGGCCTTGGCTACACCAGCTCTCGGGGAGGATGCTCAACTCAAAACTAAGAAATGCTTATGGCCTTTATGATAGACTCCACTTGCTGAGAAGTTGCTCAGTCTCCTCCTTTCCTCACCGCTGATTAGACTCCACCCTTTGCTGAATTAGTCAGGCAGCATCTTCATCACCATCTGCTTCTCTTTGTCTTGTTCTCTGACCCCACCTTCAGCACCAACCATGGGTCCTGACACATCATGTGTCTGGAATGAATGAATGAGTAAGACATGTTCCTTCCCCATGTTCTCTCTGCCATTCTTTCCACATTGTATTCCCTCTCTGTCTGGGTATTGTAAGCTCATGGAGGGCAAAGGTCACATCCTCCTGACTGGGCCTGCCATACAGTACTCGATGAATTCAGGGATGGGAGCTGTGTGCTTCTCCATAAATGGGTCTTAAGTCAAGTTCTGAAGGTGATAAAAGACTGGACGGGTCTCCCCCGCCCCCTTTGCTGATGTCACCTGGCCAGTTCTCTTAGCATGAACCCAGAGACTGAGGATATGAACTCAGGAAGCACTTAGCTGCCTTCTCTCTTATCTGCTAAGACACGTAATTTAGCCCACTATGAAGCCGAGTCTGGGCTGCTGTGTTTTGAAGGAGGGGACACACTGACCTCAGCACAGCTCTGTGTTCAGGGGCAGGCTCACTCTCTGTGGCACTGTGGTAGTGGGACACTTCTTAGTGTAGAGGAAACGCAACTTCCTACTATTGGACAAGAAGTCAGGCAGAAGAGGGTTTAATCTGTGAGAGGCAGGAGACATGCTCTCGTGCTGGCAAAACTTGCATTGCAACCACGTTAGCCCAGTAAGTGAAGTAAGCAGTCTAGATGGAAGTCACCAGGAGTCAGGCTGTGGCACCCAGAGCACCAGCCTCTTGATTCTAACTCCACAGACAGGCAGGCCCCTTAGGAAAGCTCCCCAATGTGACACAAGCGGCGTGGGTATCATTCTTGATTGTCTAGAATAATGAGAGTGCTTGTTACCTTTGCTCTGCTACCAAGTGCATGCAATTACTACATTCAAAACTAACCTTGTGAAATGTGCCCATTCTCTTTGGCGAGCAGACGGTTCACATGCTCTGCCCCACCCCCGGGTGACCCGAGCTTACTTTGTGCTCTGTTTCTGTCCTGGCTGTGAAGCCTGCACTCATTCTCTGTGTCACTGGGTGCAAATTCACCTCAAGCACACTCCATTAGCAGCAGGCTTAATGAGCTTAGACTGAAGGTGAATCTTGATTAGATAAATAATCAAATAAAGGCCTGATCTTTATTAATAAGTCAGCACTGGCTCTACAAGCACAGCCTTTTGATGAGATGAAGCCTAGGGTGTGATCTGCAGCTGCAGAATGTCAATAAGTCAGCTCAGTGGCTTTCATCTCTGTGCTGCCAGAATTGCCGAGCATGACATTCCCTCACTCAAAACCGAGCAAATGAACAGAAATTACCTTCATAGATCATGCCCAAATGCACCCCACATGCAAAATATATACCTAGATTATTCGGGTGTGGGAGGGGGAAGAAAATTACAACTTGCCACTCTTTCTTCATTTTATTCCCACAAAGATAAAGATTCCTTCCTCTGATGTTGGGCTATGATGGGTTCTTTCATTTCTGGTGGTGTGTGGGAGTCAGCTTGTCCTCCCACAGAGAGCCTGGCAGACAGCTGGCTGAAGGCTGTCTTGGACTTGCCATCCGGTTACCCATGAATACAGTCCATACCCTTCTGCTACGGGGCAGCTTCAAGGTGGCAGGCTTATTCTACCCTGTTCTGGGCTCGATCCAAAGCAGAAGGATTTCATTAACATTTATGACAAACTACCAAAGTTGCTTGTATTGCTAAATTAAGCTTGGGGTGGGGCACTGACTATGTGGTGGCGGTGGTGGGGCACCCATGTGCCATGGTGAAAGCATGTGGACCTTTAGAAACAGATCCTGGTTCACATCCTTGTAGCACTACTTGATAGCCAAATGCGGTTGATTGCTTAATTGTTCTAAGCCTCCGTCACTCTCACCTGTAAACTGAAGATAATAATGCCAATTGCATAAAGTGTGACAAGGATCAAACTGCTTAGATAACAACCATGGAAAGGAGGAAGCAAGGAGTAACTCAGAGCACTCGTGGGCATCACCAAGGGAATTTTCTTTTACATACTTCCTCTTGTATACTCCATCGAAGTAACATGGCACACATGTGGCTGGTGCTCAGATGACCATTATTTTCTGTCATGTTCTGTGGGGTTTTAGTACACCAGTGTTCTCTGAAATTCTTGAGTGCTTGTGACTACTCTCAAGTGAATTTTTATGTGTACAATTGCTGGTTTATTGGTATAGGGTCAAATGCTCCTAGACATTTCTTTTCAACCTGGGTAGAGGGAATCAGGTCAAGATAGCCAAAAGCTATGGTATTACATGCCTGTAATCCTAACACTTGGGAAGCTGAGGCAAGAGGATTGCCATGAGTTTGAGCCTAGCCTGGGCTACATAATAAGTATGAGGCCAGCCCAAATTACTTAATGAGTATCAATCCAGCCAGGGCTACAGAGTAAGGCTCTGTCTCAAAAAGCCAAAACCCATCAGGCATCAGATGCTCTCTCTGACCCCACAGAGCCACTTACCAGCCATAAGCATTTGGGCTGTAAGAACTGTGGGGAAGAACATTCTAGAAATCTTCAGCTTCTTGGAGTCAAAGTGGCCCATCTCTGAGCTGCCCGGCTTCTTTCTCCCAGGTGGATCTTAGCCCCTGCCTACTAATGGCATGCTTTTGACAAATCTGCTTCATTCTCATGAAAGCTGTCAGCTCTCTGACCCTCCCCCCAAGTTATTTTAGAATTCTAGGTGTCAAGCCTAAAACCTTAAAAAAAAAAAAATCAACTTATCACTTTCTAAAGCCTAACACAGGGACTCTTGGGCATTTTCAGTAAAAAGTTCTTACTTCCTCTTACCAAATTCTGGATAATGCTAGGCATTGCTAACCAGCGGTATGCCTTGGGTCCAGAGAACTTGGGTTGGTGGTTCCCACACATCTCTCACCAAGCTGAGAATGTTAACAATCTGCTTTGCATTTTATTTGCTACTCAAGCAGAATACCACAACCCACTACCCCCCCAAAAACAAAAATCTCAGAAAAAAAAAAAACCAGCAGAAAGACCAAGTTTCATGTATTAGAGCTTGATTTTGGAGAGAAAAAAGCCACATATTTGAACTGTTTTGTGCCTTCCAAGTCGAAGGTGAATAGACAGTCCTAGAGTGACACAACCGAGAAAAATAAGAGAAAGAAAGTAAGGACACAGGAAGCCCTGGCGCGGAGCCACTGGTGCCACGTGAGCTGCAGTCAAGTCCCATCCAGTAGACCGTGAGCAACCCTAGGCCGTCGTCTCAACCCAGCACTGGGCAGCGGTGTTTCTAGTCACACCCGGGCATTTCAGACCCTGAGTTCATCTTTCCTGGTCTCTTCCCATACTGTGCCAGTGTGTACTGCAGGGCCTCCAAAGGCCCGAGGGTTGTTGAGTCCCCAAGGAGAGAACAGCTCAGGATGGGGCTGGAACAGCAACTCTGAGCAAGTTTAGCAGATGACCAGTCTAGGCCACAAGTGAGAGGCAACAGCCCCAGATGAACGGTGCCATTGTCTTCCATATCGTTCTTAGTCACCAGTTCTGTAGACTGTGTCTATTTTCATATCTACTCCTTCCTCTAAAGGGGCACAAGGCTCTGGATAATCCAGGTCCTGCCCTCCTCACATCCCTGGCTTTCTTTTCCCGCCCTGCACCTGGGTTGAGATAGCTCAACAGTTCCCCACAGAGTCAAGACCTTTCTCTCTGTCCTTTTCTCAGGCTGCATTCTCTGACACTCCTTCCCCAGCTTGACATACTCCTGTGCCTTTAAGGCCTAGCTTGCCTACACCCTCCCAAAAAGTCATTCCTGTCTCCTAGCTTGCCTACACCCTCCCAGAAAGTCATTCCTGTCTCCATGGATGAGACTTTGTCCCCTAGACGGAAATCAAGGTTCCTAGAAAAATGTGCTCTCGCTCTCTCCCTCTCTCCGCCCTTTCTATTAGATTAGCCTAAAGCACCCTGAGGACAGAACTCCCAGCACTTTCTTTCTTCACTGAAACTGAGGTGAACGGATGAACGGCAGTTTCCTCACCCTTTTCCCAGGTCACCTGTTTCCCCATGACTAACTGTAGAATGAGGCAAGTGCTAAGCACCAAAGAACTCAGCACTCAGTACCTGGATGGCTTCAGAAGCAGACCACGTGTGAATGAGACTTGATTCTTCTCCACGGGCTTGCCTGCCTACCAGGATGATTAGCCTCTCCTGACTTGGGTTGGACCACCTAACAGGATACAGACCAACCCCCCACTATTACCTCTGCAAAGATCCACCAATCAAATATATCCCAGCTCAAAAGCATAGGAGGCACAAAGCAGAAGTCCTTCAAGGCATGGTGTGCACCTTTGTATTTCCTGAGGTGCCAAGCCTGATGTCTTTCTCTTAAGTGGGGCTTAACAGAATTTGAAGAAAGAAGATCAGAGTGGGAGAGATGGATCGGGAGGTAAAAGTATTAGATCTGTTCACTGGAGGACCTGAGTTTGATTCTCAGAATCTATGTAAAAAGCTGGATTTGTTTCTGTAATTTTAGGACTTCTACAGGGAGGTGGGAGGCAGAGACAGGAGGATGTCTGGAAGCTCACAGGCCATCTAGCCTGGAGTGTGCAGTGCAGCAGAAGAAACAAGGAGACCCCAACCCAAAGTGGAAAGCAAGAACCAACTACTAAGAGTTGTTTTCCACATATGTGCAGGGGCATACTTGAGTGCTCGAATGCATACAAACCACACACACACACACACACACACACACACACACACACTATTAAAAATACTAACACCTGTATTCTACCGTTAGGGATTCTGAATGCATTATTTTTAATGTATTTATTTTACTTTTATGTGTATGAATGTTTTGCCTACATGTAAGTCTGCATCACCCTGGCACCTGCAGAGATCAGAAGAAGGCATCAGATCCTCTGGAGCCAGAGTTACAAGCAGTTTGTGAACTGACTGATCTGGATGCTAAGAACTAAACTCCAGTGTTCTTGTACCATCTTTCCAGGCCTCAAAACCATTTTAAACTTCAAGCAATCTAAAATTTCCTATGCCCAGTTCATACTTGTATCAAACATACTTGTATCAGGCAATAAGCAGCGTCTGGTTTTTGTGTTCTGTCCCTAAGACACTCAGAGTCTCCGTGGAGAGCACACACATAATGCAGCGTGCTGGAGTTATGTCCTGAAGGAACATCACGCCATGATGAAATACAGAACCTTCAGGGCATGAGTGGCAGACTCTGCTGTAGCCAAGTTGCAGTCTAGGGGCCACATGCAAGCCTGGTCTTCTGAGTGCTGTTAAGGACACCTGATGAAAGAGGGTTAACATGATTTCAGTGCTTAGCTGGAAACAATTTATTACTATGTACAAGCAACAATGAGCCATTCACCCCAGCTGAGAGCCTCTTGGCCACTGAAGCTCTACATGCAGGACTTCTCTCAGAACAAAGAGGCACTAAGGATAACTTATTTGACCCTCTGGCAACAGGAAAGCACATTTTCGGCCCCATTCAGCATGAGTTTTAGGAATGTCATTTTAAGCAAGGAAAACTTAAATCTCCTGCAATCAGAGAAGCTCATGCCAGGCTGGTGCTCGCATCACTTGTCAGGACACTTTGACCAGATAATGGAGTGCACCGTGCTATAGCTATGAGAAGAAGCACTGTACTCATCCGGGTCTCTTCTAAACCAGCCCAGGGCTGGCTAATGCAGCACAAGTTTAGTAAACACTCTGAGTATATGTCACCTACACAGACAGTGTCACAATATATCTGTGTTCTCAAAGTTCAGCCTGATGACCATTCATTGCAGAACCGCCCAGCAACTCCCTACTATCAGGGTCCTAGCTCCTTTCAGACTTTGGCAGGTAGCTGTCAAGGACAGGAGCCAGGCACACGCCATTTTAAAGCACAGCCTAGGTAATTCACAATACACTTGTATTTTTAAAAAATGTCAAAAGAAAAGACAAAGTCTTGTTACATTGAAGTTTGGTGCTCTTATAAAATAATTCACCACTAAAGTGATCTTTGGAATGCATTTCCAGTAATAACTTGGACCTTTTATGTAACAATTCCCTTCATTACTCTTTAATGGCATTCAAGCTGAGTCAGTTTCAGACAATGCTATTATATTTTCAGCAAGGCAATGAGGCACAGAATGGCTTCCTGAGGAACAACATTGATGGTTTGGGGCATTAGCTGTGTGGGAAGACTTGACATTGACCATCTCCCTCTCTACAAGGAAATGAAAAGCCTCTATTTAAAAAATTTCCAAAAGCCCTCTAATCTGACTTTTAAAAAGTAGAACTTTACATGAAGGAAGATTAGGGGAAATCTTTACATGAAGGAAGACATGGGGAAATTCATGTTGGCAAACAAATGTTTACCAAGTAAGTATCTGCCACATAAAGCCAGCCCTTAGGTAAGGGACAAAGAGGTAAACGAGACGAGGTCTTTACCGTCTAAGTGACAAGAGCAGTGGCAGGGACAGGGGACCCTTGTGCTGTGGAGAACCAGCAGTTCATCTGACCAAGGGGTCACACAAGCCGCTGGGAGGAGATGGATTGCTGCTGGACCCTGAGGACCCTGAGCATCCCAGAAAGGAGGGTAGGGGAACATGTGTCCAGGGGAGGGCCCTGAAGCCTGGGGCTGTTCCCGGGGCCTCCAGGATGCAGCTGGACAAGTGGGGGCTGCACAGTGGGCAGGACTGCCTCGTGCAGGCGGAAGGCTTCTACGGGTGGCCTCTGCTCCTCACTTTCTACATTCTGTGAAGTTAAAGTGGAGTCTCTTTTCAATTTGACTTTTCAGAATATATACTTGATAGAAATCCAAAACATATATATGAATATTCACCTTCATTTCAGGAGCAAGCACAGATTATTCAAAAGCATAATCAACAGTATGGGATTTTAAAAGGTGCCTGCTTCTTTACGCAGTCCACCATGTGCTTCTGTGCCCAGAGAATCCCAGGGCATCTTAGTAGGAGCGCATAACTAACTTTTGTTTCTTTGAGAAACTAATGCTTCTGCCCCTTGACTAGTTCAACATCATTGCAGAAGCTCTTTCCATCTAAATTTAAGGTTATCTGTAAGAACATGCTTTTCAAAAACAAACATTTCCTCAATTAAAAAAAAATTAGTACAAGCTGGGCAGTGGTGGTATACACCTGTAATCCCATCACTCAGGAGGCAGAGATAGGAGGATCTCTGTGAGTTTGAGGCCAGCCTGATCTACACAGAGAATTCCAGGACAGGCTTCAAAGCTACAGAGAAACCCTGTCTCAAAATAAATAAATAAATAAATAAAAAAAAATTAGTGCAGATTTTAACTGAGGCCCAAATTCAGAATTGTTTACAACTGAAACCAAACCTCGTGGGTGGGTAAGGGTCAGCATCCGACTGTTGAATGAAGGCTTTTGTCTTTAGTGTCTGCAGCAAGAACATACTCTGCACGGTATTTTGAGTACTGCCCATGGGAAAACATGTGTGTGCACCACACAGGGCAGCAGGTGGTGCGAGAAGCAGGCGGAGAAGGTGAGGTTCTCTAAGAAACGCCCCAGCACAGTGATGCCCCCTCAGGGGGCCAAACAGAGGTATCTGGGCTGATCACCATCAGGGCTCTAGTGTGTGCTGGACCTTTTACTACAAGTGATATTAATCATTTTAACTATCACCTACCACACACTTATTATTCGGCACTTGACAGAATACACTCTCAAGTGTCAAAGTCAATGAGTCAATGACTTAATGAGAGTATTAGAAAAACAGTCTTGGTGAGTGAGGTGGCCTGGACCCAGAAAGACATTTGCAACATATTCTCTCTTAAGTTTGGATTCCAGTTCTGATTCTTTAGGTGTGAGGAGACACAAACCAGGCAAGGGCAAGAGGGACCAACATGGGCAGTGGAGGAGCTCTCGTGAGGGGCATGGTAGGGAACAGGTGCTGTGAAGAAATCAATTAAAAATGGCAGGGGGCGCTAACTAAGGAAGGGGAAGGGAAGAATACAGAGGGTCAGGAAGGGAGAAGGAATAAACACTAAGGATGTTTGAAAAAGCCGTGGGTAAACATATTACCTCATATTTACATAAAAACACACAGTACATAACAATCCTGTCAAGAGCCATAGACTCTAACAAAATCCCTAGTGCCAAGCATGGGAAACCTCCCTCTGAATTGTTGGTTAGGAGGTCCAAGAGCCTCCCAGAACAATACAGGCTATCACTGTTGTCCTTGGTTGCTTCAGAACTTATCACGAAGATGCCACACACTTAGGGTGTTGGGCTGGGAAGAACGGGACTGGAACTGCCCTGGAAAACCCCTCCCTTAGAACCAGCTCTCAGGGGCTCACAAGGTGCTATGTCAGCTGCCAAGGGAGGAAAGCAGTCAACCGTCCTATGCAGCTGCGATGAACTCTAACAGCCACGGCAATATATCCGCAGTGGTGCGGCAGTGTCACTCATGGGTCAGGAAGTCAGACTTCCAGACCGCTGCCCAGCACACAGAGGCCAACCGTGAAAAAGGAAAATTGTGTCTGTATACCAGCGCCATGACAGAAACCTGAAACTCTATTTTGTAACATTTGGGATATATGGGATGTGTGTGTGTGTGTGTGTGTGTGTGTGTGTGTGTGTGTGTGTGTGTGCACACGCG